TCGTCCACCTAAAGAAGCAATGAGATTCAGATACCTAGGCATCACCCCCTCTCTCAGGTTTCCACCTCCCTGCTTAAGCTTTCGCCATAAGGCACTTATAGAAACTTTCTAAACATCTCCTTTATCTATAGGGAGTGGTCCGTGACAACCAAGTTTGTACTACTTCCTCCTGTACAGATAATCTGGAATAGATCTGACATACAACCTAAGTTTGGCTAATGAGGTTAAAGCTTCCAAGAAGTTGAAATTGAGACTTTTAAAACAAAGTTAGTTTTGACAGGTGTCTTAAACAAAGAATAGCTAAACCCTAGAAATGGAGACCATCTGCTACCCTGTGAACCGAGAAGAGAAAACCAATATAAAGAGAAACAGATAAAGCAGACAGACAGACAGACAGAGATGCTTTTTTTTCCTTATAGGTTTTTATTTCTTAGGACCAGTTCTTTCTTTATACTCGTTTCTATTCTGCTATGGGGTTTCCTGATGCACATTCACAAATTCCTCATTTTAGCTGAATTAAGCAAGTTTTAGTTGACCTCTCAAGTTGGTTGGTTATATACAATCACACAATTCCAATTAATACGCTACTGTGCTTGACCTGCCCTGACATGAGTTCAACTATAGGGCAAGAGAGTAGGGAGATAGCTCTGAAATTCTATCCAACACTTTCTTTATGATAAATATGGTTCTCATAGTAATAGAAACACCTTTGATTCTATACAAGATGTACAGAATTAATATTGTATTGCCTATAGATGAGTCTGGAATAAGGAATTGACAAGTTCCTAAAATATCTGACCTCCTTTTCTCTCTATTTTTGGATAAATCTTAGGGTTTAAAAATTACAGAAATAACATTTTGTTCAGATAGCAGCAATAACAGTAACCCTAAAAAGGAAGTCTGTTTCCCTCTGGCTTCCCAAGCAGATAGAAGATGTTAAGAAAACCTGTAAGGGAAACATCAGTGATTCTGGATACACTGTGATTCAGAATGTGCTTAAAATATAGATGCAGAAGATGGTTCAGGTACCTTTTTTCAGTGACTTAAAAAAATCAGTTTCAGTGATTGCATTCAATTAAACCACCATTGTAGCTTATGTCTTTGATGCCAATTAGTACTCTACAGTTCAGCAGTTTGACTGAATCCAGCTTTAGTTATTTTTTATGAAATAATTTTGGCCTGAAATACTAGTTGTTTATCACTCTAAATTCGAATATATTCTTTGCTTTGTCAATTAGATGATACACTGGAAGAAGCACAATCTTTTAAATATCTTTAAACCATTACTTAAGTAAGCATACCACACACCTGGTTACAATGTGAGCAAGATTAAATTTTAACAAACCAACAGTTCTCTTTAATTTTATACCAATCATCTGATGAGCTTCCAGTGCCTGGCTACTTCAACTCCTGCTCCTATAAACTGGAAACAGAATCTTCCTCCACACTGATAACATGGTTCTACTATCTCAAACTAAAAAGGAGCATACAAAGAAATGTATCCTGGTATCTAATTATGTCAAAAAGAACTAATTTAACAACAATTTTATCTATATAAAAATTATACTTTGGGATAGCCACTATTCAATTTTAAATAGGTATTACTAAGTAATTCCATCAAATGGGTCAATTTTTTTAATTCCTTGAGAGTACATTTTGTAGTTCACTGATCCTGGCAGACAATCGAGAAGGCCACACTGTACAAACTTGGCAGTTGTCTTATAAAGCTCATTATTTGACAACTGGCAATAGCTAGGCTAAAAACCTTCTAATATGTACTATTTTTTGTTGTGTACAATAAGCAGCTCTGGTTCTAGTCAAGCACATCTGGGTTCTTCAGAAAATTAAAAACTGGTCCTGGGCAAACCTTGTTTTGGCCAATGTCTTCCTTGCACTTTTGGTGTTAGGGAGGTGGGACAGCTGTCCCACCAGGTGAGAACACTGGCTATCACCAACATAACCAACTCATCTGGTTTCCAATTAACAACATAACATAGCTGTTTTCTAGGCTCCTAACAGCTAACAAAAGCTCCAAAACTCTACTTCCAGCTGCTATTAATTCCCTGCAAAGAGCAATGACATGTATGTAAGTCTGTAGATTGTATGTGTGCTTCATAGAGCCACTGGGACTCTTCAAGGTACTTCCGTGACCAGTAAGCAAGACTAAGGAAGTAGACCGGCCAGAGCTATGCCAATCCCTTCAAGCCAACAGCTCTTGTTTTTTAACAGATTGAAATGTTAGATTTCTGAGTAGGATATTTTTGAAGATAGAGTCTTAAAACTAGAGTATAAGGGAGATTTTCTTCACTTATTCTTCAGAGTATGGTACATCCCCATATCATCAGGGCTCAAAAGAGTTATAAATCTAAATCAAGGATGATTATCTTCCTCCTTGAAAACATCCTTAATGAAATATACTTTCAGTGTTATGAGAGTTACATCATTTTTTAACTTTGATTGTGGGTACAAATGCAAAACAGCCAGAGAAGACTTCTGCTTTTGCTGTAAAATTTTGTTAAATAACATTGCTCATTTGGCTGTCAAAGTAGCATATGACACCTTTCTTTTGGAAATAATTTCCAAGAAAATTTGTTCTCTCTTGAAGAATAGGTAGGCTTGCTTCTATCATATAATGAAAATTATAAATCACATTGTCGGTCCCTTTATGCTTTGATTGCTTAAGAAGCTCCAAGTTAATGATTTCATGTTTTATTCTGCTTACCATATTTGTTTCTTCCTCCTTTAGTAGTTTTGATGGTGTACTTCTATTTGAACAGCTCTGTGTGTCATTTTTCTCATAAACAGAATGAACATTAATAGATAAGTCAATAATAAAATTAAAATGTGATGAATATCCTGGAAATTACTGAAAACCAACAGAATTATGTATTCTATGATCATTTGCTTATCTTCAGGTCTCTTATCCTGTATTATCAGCTACTGGAACACAATCAAGTCTCAAGTCCAGCAAAATCAATCTCCAAAGAGCTCAAAGAGATTGTCTTTTAAGTTCGTATACTAAGATTTATTTATTTTCCATAACTCTCATCGGAGATATATGTAACCTTGTATTAGACACAGTTCTATTATGCTCCAATAGGTTCTTGTTGCTTTCAAGATGAAGAATAAACCTTAATAATGGCCTATAAGACCTCACATGGTCTACATGGCCCGGCCTATTGCTCTACCCTTATCTGAGACACCTACTCCCTTCAGATTTCATCTGCTCCTAAATCCCTATATGAGGGAAATGTCCACTATTATAAACTCTAAAACCAGAATATCTCCCTTTCAGCACTCATTGCAGATTACATAAATATATTTTTGTTCGCTTATTTGATTAATACCTAAGTTCTCCAGGAAACTCTAAGTGCCATGAACGTTTTGTCTATTGTCCCCAGTAATGTATCATCAGCACCTGTCCTAAAAACAAGCACAGCAACAACATCAGAAACACTTTGATAATGAGAAAAAAAAAATCCACTGTAAAAAGTGGACAGAGCTCAAAGATCATTCATTGGAGTCTAGAGGCAAATCCTCTTAATAGCCATTACATTAAGATATTCTTTAACCGTCTTTAATAGGATCATTATATTACAGGATGGTATAATAATTATAATAATTGAAGTCATCAAGGAAGGGTTAGGTTTTGATCTATGGTTAAGATGAAAGACAAATGCCTTTAAAATGCTTTCTTTAGTGCTTCTTTAAAAGGCTTCCCTGTCTTCCGGAGGTGAGCTTCAGTTCTATGGAAACTTCACTCATCTGCGTTATTCTTCCCACCTCTTAACTAGCAATACTAGATAAAGGAAGAGTTCCCCAACCTCAGGTTATTGTAAACAACCTTGTATTGCAACATTCCTCTTTTGGTCAATTTCATAATTGCATAAAAATTATTTTCAAACTCCCATTAGTATTCATATTCCCAACAAAAAGACTAATGTTATGTAATGCTTCACAAATATTCTGCCACAGACAATGTGTGTTGAATTTAAACCAAATTCTGTCTTAGGTTGCCTTTAAAGGAAAAATGCAAAAAATGCAAAAAAAAAAAAAAAAAAAAAAAAAGAAAAGAAAAAAAGAAGTTTCCACTTGAATTCTAAATTGAAGATGACCTTGTGCTTTTCTGAGAAACGCTGGCAGCTAAGGTCACTGGAGTCTGTTATGATAGACGGTGCAGTGCTGTGTGTGTCTCAAGGCATGTCCATTGTATGAATTAAAGCCAAACCAGTAGTATTAGGCAGCTCAGAGCATTCTATCATTTCATTTGAAAATAATGATCAAAGTCGTGGGCAACAACCATTGCAACTCTCATGAAAGAATGGCAGCATTCAATAATTCCATCACTTCAGACAGACAGTTGGGCTATTCTCAATCAAATACTATGAATCCAGTATATTCTGTGTCAGTTTCTTGTGGCAATCACAGAAACAACATTTCTGCTTTTACAGTATAAAAATCCTGTCTACACTGTGTGCATCCCTTTGCTTCCAAATGACTGAGTCATTGAGAAAAATACAAGGAAATGGAAAACACAGAAACTGAACCCTCTTTGAGTATAAATATATAGCAACCCCAAATCAGCCATTTTCTTCAAGTCAGCTTACTGTTTCTAAAGCTTAAAATCCATTTCGAAACAAAATGTCTACAATCTCTTCTCTAATAACAGCATGAACAAAACACTTTCAAAGAAATGTAATCTAGTGCCAATGGTTTTCAAGCCTTCTAAGTGATCTCTTCAATAGTGATATTTAACTAGAACATTTTGATTGATAGAGGCTTATTTTAAACTTTTGCTTCCTTCACGCGTAGATTAATGGTAGCATAAAAATATGTTTGAGATGTAAAAGCAGGTGGAAAAACTCACACTTATGATCAAAGAAGAGAACTGCTTCCAATCCTGTGTTTTCCACTCTGCCTGGGTATCTTCTATATATAGGAGGAAAAACATACCCTGTTGCTTTTAAAGTATTTAGACACACACACACGTTGTAACTTACCATTAAAATTTACAGCCCGAATATAACCAAGCAGCTCTTTCCCATCAATGGTACTCATTCGTGGACAAAGGCCAATGTATCCAGGGCAGAGATCTTTATGCATATTGTGCAGGGCGTAAGCCATGGAATATACTGCATCAATTACAAATTGGACCTTTCCTTCCTGTTCATAAGATGAATCCCGAGCAATTCGCTCCAGCCCTGCAAAATAAAAAAGTAAAAACCATCAGTTGATGTTAGATTCCAAGAAAAGACGGCATTAGAGCTAAGATTTCCATCATTTGAGGACACTTAATGAGACACAACTATTTGATTTCACTTCTGATTAATTCTATACTTACTGAGTCAGGTTTTTAAACTGGATATTGAGTTTATTTGGAAAGAGTAAAACTATTTCATTAGCAACAAAAAGATATGAAGTAAATAAAAGATGTATAGTTTCATTATCGTTATTTCCACCTTATTGAGTCCTATTATATTGTGCACTCTAGTAATTACATAATGCTTTGGTAGTGGCTTGATCTTTTATGTAAAATGTGTAGTGTGTCATTCTTGCCATCTATCTCAGCTCCAGGAGTGTCATTTAATTAGTGGCCCAAAGCAAGGTCTTTCACCACCCACCAAATCAGTTATAATTTTTAATGTCCTCTATTTGGAAGCCTTTTTGTAACTATTATATGACAATACTCCCTTAAGTGACCCTAGTTATCTTTATAATAATCATTCAATTTGTTTTCTTTTTGAATTCAATTTTCTATTTAGAATTTCTATTAAAAAGATGCAGACACCTCAAAATGAATGTCACTCAGAATAAATGTACCTGTGTTTGGGCATATTTAGGGCTGATAATTGGCACTGGAGATTACTTTTAGGTTGGTGTTTATAATTTAATATGGAATAGACATATATTTTAAATGAAATATAAATGAGAGCTCAACTATGATCCAACATTATCGTTTTGAAAGCGAGGAAACTGAGACTCATGGAGGTTATAATTACATGGGCTACACAGGGCAGGTTTGGGAAGCATTCATAGGTCTCAGACTGCAAGCCCAATATTCTCTCAATCCCCAGAAAAGTTTGGTAGATGGCAAGAATGTTGGGCATGCAAGAAAAAATTATGAAAGGGACATCAAGAGTTTATTAAGGGAACAAAAAATGATCTCCTATCACTTCTACATCCATCACCAACCCTTACACAACTGGTAACACTTAGACAAAAGCAAGTATTTTAAACTTTCCATGGATGTTACTAACCTTGAATAAATTGTACTTATGTTCAACACGTATTTGTTTTCTAAACACCAATGCATATAACCTATGTATTTAGAGAATTGAATTAAAGCGGTTTATATTTGGATATTTACACTCTGAAAAACTTGTGGTTTTTTCCTAAACAAAAATAGTGGTCAGTTTATTTTTATTCATCCAATTATTGTTTTTGTTTTTCCTTTGGTCTTAATCACTTGTGACACTGTTCTTTTAGATGCTCTTGGTTGGTATTCTGGTCTCTGTGGTCTGTCATGATGCTGAATTCTGCTCCTCCCTGTTTGGCATGGGTTTTCTGATTTTCTCACGTCTCAACTTTTCATTCTCCAAGGCTGAGTTTCTTCATCCCCAACCTCAGAATCTGCTCATTGTCAATTTTGTCAACTACTAAAATTTCTACAGTCTAGAAATATAAATGGGAATATAAAATGTTGGCTACAGAGTCCAGAACATTAGATCAATTTGTGATAATTAGTTTAATTCATTTTGGAAGTTAGCTTTTTGGAAAATTAGTTTTCTAAATCTTTCTTGCTGTCTAAGGGTATAGTCTCATATTTCCAATGGCCTACTATATCTCTATGTAGTCTGCTGCATCCATATCAAACAACAAATGTAAAATGAGGCTATCTCTGCAGGGGATTCTCTAAAATATCCTAGTGAACGTTTGCAAGTTTGCGAGCACAAAGAGACAGGGAAGACTACTTTTCAAAAGGTATACTGTCTCCTTCAACCTACCTTAGCTGCATGATCTAAGCTAAGATCCACAAGACATGGGGACTATGTTCTCTCCCTATCTCTAGGTTATACTTTTGTCTCCTGAGTCTTAGGACAACACTGCTTGTTCCCAGAATCTCTCATCAAGTTTCCTGTGAAAACAACCCTTTCCACTTATGCCTAAAATTTCTCTCCCATGGCTTTAAACCACAAAGTAGAGCATTCATAAATAAATATTGAAAGATGGTTACAGCAACCAAATAGATGTTGTTATTTCCTTATAGATTCTAGGCTGGTGACTATCCACTCTTGTTAGTCCAGGACTGAGGGGGTTCTCAGGACCTAGGACCAAAATGTGAAAAGCCCTGGAAAAACCAGGATAGTTGCTTATGAACAAAGAGGCAAGTGATGAGGAAATTTCAGAGAGAAGACTAAATAATGACGTTGAGGATCAGTCCCTAGGCCTGGATGGGTATCCCTGTGTTTCATTTATTTTGCAACACTGCACTTGAAAACAGAAAATGAAGACAATGAGGTTCAGGGCAGTTGTTTCCACACTTGGTTCTCTCCTCAAGTACAGATTTCTCAGTACCACCCCAGACTTGCTGGGTCAGAATCTTCCTACCTGGGACGTGAAGGATCTGTCATTTCAACAACTCACCAGGAGATTCTGGTGCAACCAGCTAAGTCTGTGGGCCAGCTTTAGGAAATTTCTGCTCTTCCATACAGCAACCCTCAAAAATACCTCTATAGATCTATTGTTTAGAGAATTTTACGGTATTGAAGTATGAAAACAATAATTCTTTCATGATATGCACAACCCAAAGAAAATCTAATCAAATTATTCTCCTTTTCTCACTAGATGAAGAGTCAAAGAACACAATTCCCAATATTTATGCATTTCAAAGCTTCCACCATGTCCTTAGACACACAGGGAGGCCTGGAGCTGATGACCAGAGTAGAAGCCAGAAAGACACGAAAGATCTGTGAATAAGAAACTGTAACGAATTGAATGTGTTCCTCATGAGAGGGTGGAAACAGAAAATAGAAAGCAGTAGAGAGAAAAAGATACAGAGAGGAGGGAAAGGAGGATGGAGCAACACAGAGAAAGGCTTGCACCCAAGGTACAATAATGGCAGAGGGAAATCTAACATTCCAGGTTGTTTCTATTGCTGCTTTGTAAATCCCTCTGCTGCAGACATACATACACACACACATACACACACACACACACACACACACACACACCCCTCACACACCTCTTCTGTAAATATTATTGGCTTTTAATCTATTTTTTTTAATTTTGTAGGCTTTAAAGGGAGGATTTCCATATTTCCATTACTGCAGGGTGAAGGGTGGAGAGTGGGCATAGAACTGGCAGAAAATGCCTAAGCCAAATGGCTTCAAATGAAGCAATGACCACAAGAACATTAAGGAATTTGGAAATTTTTTAAAACCTATGAAATTCATGTAACAGCTAGACATGTGTGACAGTTTCATAGTTTTAAATTTAATCTATCCTAAAATGTTCTTGATTTAATATATTATCACTTTATTTTAGTGCCAGTGCAACCTCAATATATTATTTTACTTTATTTTACATATTATCAATTTAACATATTATCACTGTATTTTAATGCCAGCACAACCTCCCTGTCAATCCATAGAGATACTCCTCAGTGTTCAAGAATTTCCTGATAAATTGTAATTGACATGCTCCAATTTAATAGATACACGCTTCCTCAGCATTTCTTAAAGAATAAACATCCTGGTGTGGTGGCTCACAGCTGTAATCTCAACATTTTGAAAGGCTGAGGTAGGAGGATTGCTTGATGTCAGGAGTTCAAGACCAGCCTGGGCAGCATAGTGAGACCCTGTCCCTACCAAAAAATCAAACAAAAAATTCAACTTTTTATACAATAGGTCTAAATGAATAATCAAATACACACAATCTTATTAAAGAAACATATTTAAATTTTTACGATTCAAATCATTTTTTCTAGTTATAAACTCCAAATATTTTGACTATTGATTACATATATTCCAACTTTGTACATTTTTGTTCTTTTAAAGTAAGAGTTACAGAAGTCTGCCTAGTAACTGGTACCACATGTGAATCAATGAACACCGTAAAACTCTCCCCATAAATCAGTGTAAGCAATATGGTGACAAACTGAAAGACTGAACACTATTACCATTTCTAAACTTAAAAGTGAATCATTTGATTTCTTTTCAGGCTGTTTAGACAACGTATTTTTCTGTTCCTTAACACTTCAACCTCATGATGACACTTAAGATTTTACAGCAGCTAGAATTCGCTCCTCACTTCCTATATTTGATTCTCTCATTCATCTAAAAGGGGAGTTTAGGAAGCTGACAGTGACTCATCAACCTAACTGGCTGTAAAATTTCATTATGCTATAGTTTCTAAAGTTAGTGTTAACGTATTGCTATAAAGTGCTAAATATTGTCAAAGGCTGTATGTCAGCTAACCATTTTAAATATCACCAATTGTAGAGTTGTGATGTGTTCTAGTGTATAGCTTAAAATTAACAGCATAGAGCAAAGTGTTTGCATGGTGAGACAGGAATTCAGCCTCCTAAATTTTATAGGAAGATTGTTTTACATCTTCATTAATGAAACCTAAATCTTGTGATTAGATCTCAGGTTCCCAGAAAATAATAAATTCTTACTGGTCTAAGAAATATCACACTTACTTTAGTTAAGGTCTTTCACACTTTGTGATGTATATTCTTGGGTTTTGTTCCTTTTCAGTAAAAAAAAGGCAAATTGGCTTAAGTTGGCAAAACATTGTATATGTTACAATGTAAGTTCCTAAGATGAGTCTAAGAGAAATTTCAGACTCTTTGATGCACTGTGGTTGCAAAGCATTGCTTTCTAAGAATTTCCCATTTCTCAGGATAGAGTTCAGTTTTCTAAGCTAAAATGTCAGAGGGCTAATTTAATTGTCCTGAAATTAGGCATATAAAACTTCTAACATCAATGCAATGATAGTCCAATAAGCAGTTGGTCAATCCAAGTAAAAAACAAATGGAAGTCATACCAGTTGCTTAATTCCTGGGAAATCAAACATCTGATTTGTTGCCTTTTTCTTACAACCATCTCAGCTTGGAGTATAAATAATCCAACAATCTAAATTTGTAGATTAAGAAGTATTTGTTAAAGTTTCTCCCTGAATTTTTCTGAATTATGAAGCA